ATTATACAGTATGTATATATATATATATATATATATATATATATATAAAAAATACATAAACACACCGTAAGAGAAATCAATGGTATTGGATAATAAGAGAAAAATTATTCTTGTTATATTATTTGGGTAGGGAGAGGGAGGGGGGAATTAACGAAACTCACGTAACTGAAACTCTTTTTGAAAGCATTGGTAAATCTTGTACCAGTTTGTCACTGTCACGCGACCTCTGATTACCCGTAAATTTTCGAGTAATCATTCTATCGTCTGCACGCATATTATCTCGATATCGCGTGTGTCTTCTTCGAAAGAAAAAATATTCCATATTATAATAATACCGTGTAAAACAAAAAATCACTCATGTACGTCTGAATTGCAGGCAATTACATATTTTAAATAATACAAATAATAATGATAGTATATAAAAATGGAATAATTATTATGAATTGTTCAATTTTATTGACTATAATGATACATAAATATATAACTCGTTACATCTATAGGGTGAATACAAAAGTTCCTAATGTCATTTTTCAGATGAATTATTGTACGACTTGTAACATACAATCTGAACAATAATTAACTCTTACAAATGTATTTCTACAAAAAATATTAATTAATTATAAGAATTAACTAGAAATTTTTACTTAATCTTGTACAATAAATTAAATGTATTACAACTTCCTAAATAATGTAAACATGATAAATAGATTAATACGAGATGTATTTAAAGTCATCTAGAAATGATTTATTATTTAGTGTATACAAATGTAAGCACATTAATTCAAAATACACACACACACACACGAACACACATGTAAAAAAAAAAAAAGAAAGAAAGAAGAGGCACATTATTGTTATGTACAGACACATTTGATACTCGTGTACGAAACGAAATGGTAGCCAGCCTACGCGCGAAAGAATGACGCGGTGAACGGATGTAGAGGGGAATTGGCGCAATAACCATAAACAGTCACTAATGCGACAATGAATGTGCGACTTTTTCTATGGCTATTAGAATAACTAACAATAAAAATTGTATAAAATAAAATAAGAATAAAAAATAAAAATAAGAGCCAAGGAAACCAGGTAAACAAAAATTTATGATTCGACAACAGTGACCTCTGAGAAGACGCCATGTTGATTTTTTATATTGTTGTCCAATTCACGAATAGAAATGATTTATTTAACGAGACTATTGTGATTAGAGTAATAAAATATATCGCGTGAATATCCTCGAACTTGAACATACAAGGAAACAAATTATAATTAAATTATTATACCTTCATCTCTCTTTCTCTCTCTCTCTCTATTTCTCTCTCACTCTATCTCATTCTTTCTTTTCCCATTAAGTATCTCTTCCTTTTTCTCACGTACAAAGGCATATACATACACACTAAATGAAGGTACGAAGTATTATAGTATTGTTTAGTCAATGTCCGAAGCAGACAATAATGATCACAATAACGGAAGTGTCAACGACTATTATATATGCATAAGATTCGTTCGCGAGGGAAAGTGAGTTTCCTGTTGAACACTATTCAACGTAAGTCAAAAGAATAACATTATATTATTATATTTCTCATGTCATTTTGTGATAATACCATTAGAGTTTTATTCTCGTAATATAAAGAACGTTTGTATACTCGTCTAATTACTTAAAAGGAAGTATGTATCAGTTTTCTTTGTGTATTTTATCGAAAATTGATCAAGAATGATCAATCTTGATTTATCCTTTGTCTTGAAGATTTTCTCGGAATATATGAGAAACGCGTTTTATACGATTTATCGATTGGATTTAAAGAAAAATTCTTTTAATCAGTGGTTCTCAATGAAAATATCATTGAATTCATTTGAATGTTAATTAAATTTTGATCAATTTTGTAAATATAAAAAATATTTGAAATCGTTCAATGTATGTGTGTGAATAAAGCTTTAGGATCTCTTTCTCTCTATAGATCACGATCTATATAAACGTTGGATCGAAGATAATAAGGTCGTAGCAATCTACTCTCTTTTATAACGCGACCTTGTCTCCTCGTTTCCGTACTTTTATAGTTGTAACACACTATAGCATTAGAGTTAGGTTCATCGACCAGTCTCTCCTCTCTTATTCAATTTTATTCGATCATTCTCTGAAAGGTTTCTTCTCTCATCCTAGAAATTCATGTTACGCGAATATAAAATTACGTCCTTGGGTTAGAAACAAGGCGGTTACGTCTGCGAAAAGATGTCTTACAAATTTTCTTACTCACTCAGTTATGTAAAATAACATAATTATGTAGAAAGTAACCAGTTACATTATATATATATATAAATATATTGTTTATAAATTAGAAAAAAGAAAAAGAAATAAAAACAAAACAGTTACACAAAATTTATTTATTTTTGTAATATTTTTGAACAGGTAGGAAACTTGTTATTTAATATCGAGAAATATCTATACACCCTTTTACCCCAATCACACGGTATTTATTAACTCGCCTAACAGGGGTCCTATTATATTTCATTTCGTGTCTCATTTAGCATCATGCCTTGGTAATGATGATCGGACGTATAAATTTTCATTCGCTCAGAGAAGATTATCGCTTCATCCTGTGGAAAGATAGGGTAGAGAGAAAGAGAATTATTATTGGGCTACTTCTATCGAGAATCTAACGATTGTTATTTTTTCATTCGACATAATTATCTCGACTGAAAGTATAGGAAAAATTATTTAAGGAAAAAAAAAAAAAAGAAGAAACAATTGTAACTTTTTACACCATCCGTTAGAGAATTTTTGAAAAATGATTTTTCGATTAACTATAACGAGAATCTATGGATCGTTCGATAAGTGGAAGATCTACTACGAGAAGAGGAAGACGATAACTGTACAATCGCATTACCGTAATACTGATTTGCATACAATCGATGAGATTCAGTTGAAACTGTACATCCCTTTTTTTTTTTTTTTAATATTATTCCTAATAACGAAACTTAATGACAAGTGGTTAGTTAGTTAGTCCATTTGTCTTGGAACGCAAAAACATCAATAATAACAATTTCTCCTTTCAATAGGAACTTAATGCAAAAATGCAAAAGAGACAGAGAGAGAGAGTGAAAGAAAGAGACAAAAAGAGAGGAAGAGATTTAATTTTCCTGATTTTCTCAACCGCATTCCTACTCGCGTTTCACACAGCGACCGTATTTTTCTCTCTTCGTTGAGTGAAACGTACAAGTATAACGCATCTACAGGGTGTCTTGCGAAAAATTTATCTTAATTTAAACAAAATATAGACAAAAATATATAGATTCTTTTAATTTAATTTAAATATTTAAATTAATAAATGAATGTATAGATAGATGGGTTGAAAAGTTTTGTGCTTAATATAAAAAACATGCTTTTTCTCGTTAAAATCTGTTTTTATGTTTTTACAAAAATAAAAAGAATTAAAATGGTTGCTATGCTAGGCTCAAAACTATTCAATTCAGCCACGTATATATTTTAAATATTATTCTTAACATTAATTCTTAAATCTTTGAACAAGAATGATTGTTAATAAATAAATATATATAATATATATTTTAAATTTAAATAACTTAATTTTTAATATTATTTTTTACAAATAATTTGATGATTTTTTTATTTATTCATTTGTTTATGAATAGATTTAACGCGAATTTTTTCTGATTTATTGAGTCCGCCATATTGGTATTTTTTCGGTACCTAATAAATAATAAATTTTCTTTCAAAAGTTCAATCCTATGAAATTAAATATTTGTATATGTCTTTATTACTCTTTTTTTTTTTACAAGTTTGAAGAATCCTAAATATTTGTATATATTTTCTTAAAAAATATAAAAGTATTAAAGAATATGATTTATCTGATAACTCCTTCGACATCATCTTGACGTTCTTTCTTCCCCCATTTGAAAAATTCGAATTGCTAATCCTCAAATTTGAATAGAAAAGAAGAAAAAAAACAGAAACGAGGGTAAAATAAGAAAAGACAAAAATTGAAAGAAAGAAAGAAGGAATGAAACTACAGACACGTGACGAATGAAATTCATGAAGACGTACCTATTGGTAGCATCGATGGTAGCAAAACGAGATTTCTCGTTGTGGAACGGCGTGCCGAACGTCATGACGGAACAGCTCGATAAACTCCGCCGTTGTTGAGAAGAAGAAGAAGAATTCTTCGTAATAGACGATGGTTCGCGTCCGTCGTTCCTTCTGGCGTAGCTCGTAACACCAAAGAGTTCGGTTAGTCAGCTGATCGCACGATTTTTCATAACTTCGCTCACGGTACGCATCTTTACGATATCGATTCTAAATCCAACGATTCCCACCTTTTTCTTCCTCTCGAATTCTTCGAAATCGAAATTAATCTTCTTATTAATTTTAATCTTTAATACTCCTCACCAATGGGAGAAAATGTCAACAACAAAATAAATGAGATTACCACTTCTAAATATTTGTATCCTTAGATATAAATCTTTCTTTTTCTTGAAAGAACTGAAGTGAAGATTGACTTAACTAACGGTACCAACTACTTCTTTTCTTTATAAAGCGCGCGTGTATATATGTATGTGTGTTAGAGAAAGAGAGGAAATTCAACAAGAACGAGCCCAAGTGCAACGACCCTATGATGCTTGCGTATACGAAGATCGTTTGATCGATCCTTCTTGTTAATGATCTTTTGTTATATTTATTTGAAATTAACTTTATCTTCTATCCTCTTATATTCGTCACGCGAAATTAAAAAAAAAACAAAGAGAACTTTCGGATAAAACGTATTCAACGATGGTAGAAAGGAAGAAAGATAATAATACGATATATTAGTCGGAAGGTATATAGTCAAGACGTGCTATTGTCGCGTCTCTGTTACTGTCTCGAAAGGGTAAAAGTTAAATTCGAGATAACGTAAAAGACACGTAATGCTCACAACGCGGCGTCTGTCGGACGACTGACTACCGAAGAGTACCGAACACTCGACACGATCAACGCCGAACCCTTCGCGTTATCCCCACCACTCGGTATTTCATACCGCTCGAGCTACCCTCTGTCGAATCCCTATCATACTTCTCCCACCTCGCGTTAATGTGTCCCTTCGTCCTTCCGCACCACTAATTTTTCAAATTAAGTATATAATTAACCCTTTGAGTGTGTTGTAGACGTATACATACGTTTGTTGAAAGTAACCACTGTGGATTACGGACGAGTACATGCGTTTATTGATATAAATGCAAATAATTTCAATTTCAATTTTTCTTTCGATAATTCTTTCGTGTTTTGTCGTCACACATAACTAAAATTATTCTCTATACAAAATTTCTACTGTTATTTCATTTGGAATAATAACAATTGTAATTTATCGTTAGTTGCGTTTTTTTATTACAATCTCAATCAACGAAATTCACCCTAGCAATCAAGTATTCCGTCCCTACAAAACGTTTCGGTTAGAAGAAGTATTCACAATTCAAAGGATTCATTTAATCATGTCCGAGTATATATTTTAATTTACTTTATTTAAGCACTTTTCATATTAGAACGTAATAATAAATACTAATAACGTATATATTTTTATCAAATATTCATAAATTTGTTAAGTACAAATAACGCAAAGAAATGAATAATTTTCGAGTGTTTTTAAAAGTTGATTTTTATTGGTACATATATATATATGTAATAAAAACTAGGTTAAACTAGTTTGAGTGAAAAACTTGTAAATTTAATAAATCAACTACTTGAAAGAAAATAATTAATTGTAACGAAACAAATAACATGACCCAAATATAATATGAATAAAGAAAGAGAGGGTAGAGAAAGGGTAGGAAGGAAAGAAAGAGAGAGAGAGAGAGAGAGAGAGTGATTAAAACTATCAATAAAGGTTTTAAGATGAGCCGAAGGAAGGGAGGAAAGCATCTATGAAAAGCATTGGTGACGCAGTTCCGAACGTTCCACATATTCTATGTGTCCTCTCGACGTCACACTATTATTTCCAACCCCTTTGCTCAGAGGTAAGCTTTTCGAAGCGGATAAGAAGGGTTGATCCATCTAACAGATACTATTTCAGATATTTTCTCCAACGGACGATAAATTAGCATTTGAAAACGGAAGATCAAAGGATAAGGAAACAAACTATGCGGAGAGTTCGGGAAAGTCAGCCAGTTAGTCAGTCAATCAATCAGTCAGTCAGTTGATGCAGTTCAGTTTGGTTCAGTTCGGTTCGGTTCAGTTTTATCTTTTTATCTCTATCTTTATTTCCATTTCTTTCTCTCTTGCAGCCACTCTTACGATTCCGATACCGCAGAAAATCGCAAACGCGACGACCATGACCTTGTCTCATATTTCAAACAAGTTGTTATGCAAGGACAGTCTCGAGAGGCTGCTTTAGGAAGATGAAAAACTTTTCATCTTCCTGTGCACTCTTCGATTTTAATTGATGATGATCGAAACTTCGAAACAGATTAAAACGTTTTTCTAATTTTCATTTCTATTTTTTTTCTTTTTTTTTTATCAAGCCTCTCCTTTAAATTCGTGATTAACTTTGAAGCAAGCAAAGTCACGTTTTAAATACTTCGTTCGGAAAAAAATGTCAAAACATTTTCGCTAAGATCCGTACACTTTTAAATCCAATGATACGTGATAAATAAAACATGGCAGATAATAACCGATGTAAAAAATGACAACCCTTACGATATCCATCATATTGGACAGACATCAGCTGTGCCATTTCTTTCTGTCAGGGTATAATCATAAGTATAATCAAAAAGTCACTTTACTCGTTTTGTTGTTGTTATTTTTTGTTTTTTGTATTTCCACCCTCCTAACCGCTTAATAACTTTATCAACTTTTGAAATACGTGTGAGTTTACTTTTTGTTCTCTCTGATATCAATTTGATTGATAGAACGACAATGAAACGATAAAAAGAAAAACCGTCGTACTCGTCTGTAGAAAAACAATATTTTTTTTCTCGATTCTATCATCTGGACGACAAGCATAATCGCGGTTATCGTCAAAGAGTTAACTAAACTCGTATATTATTTCCACCGCCCTATACCACCCTCAACTCCCCGTCCTATATCCCGAGTACCTTTATCTCGAGATCCTGAAATATATGTAAAAAAAACTTGTCCATAAATATTTACAACAAATCCTGATATCGAATGATTGATGGACGGCCAACAATGACATAACAAATAAAACGGAACGTTTGCAATATCCACTGTATCGAACGGATATTTATTTTTATTTCCTTTCGTCTCTACCTTCTCCTCCTTCTCCTCCTCCACCTCCCCCTGGACAACGACAGTAATTAACACGGTATTGTCAGGAAAATTACCTGATTCGCGTTTCAGTCTCCCACCCCTCTCCAATCCCAATACCTTAACAAACTTCCACAACACGTGTGGAGGTCTCTCTTTTCATGGATATTTGGCTGGAAGCCGAGAGCTGTGAACACGGGAAACGATTTGAAAGCGGTATGGCGGGGAGGGGAAAGGGGGAAAGTGTCTTTCGAGTGGATTTCGAGAGGAACGAGTCTAGTGCACTGCATCACAGTGAAATGCACTGAACGAAAGAATGAAATGGATAGATGCATCGTGTATGTTCATTCGATGAACGATTACAGATGTGTGCCTCGGACCACATTGGAATTTCAATGATAAAGAGTAGGCTCGAGTCTATGTTATCGACGTAAAGTGTATCAAACTACCCCTCATCCCCTTCTTCTGTTGATGTTTCCTGATTTTATCTATCTATCTCTCTCTCTCTCTCTATCTGTAGATCCAGATCTGGATCTGTATTTCTATATATCTCACTATTTCTCTCTCTATCTCTCTCTCTCTCTTGCTCGAATTACCTACCATTTGCTGCATTCGTCGATCCATATGATTGTTTTCGAATGAAGTTGTCTGCGGTAAATCTAATCATAGCCGAGAGATCTCTAATTCGGGACATACTTGATACCCCGTTTAAACACGCCAGGGATAGGAATAAATTTTAGCATATAATCCGACGAGTACATATATGATTTACGAGTTATCCAAGCATACGAATCGTTTTATTGTAATTTTATATGATTTCGAATGATTACAATCGGATGATTAGGTAAACGAATTAATTGTGAGGAAAGAATTAATTTGGAGGTTATTATGTTTTCTTATTATATTAGATTTGTTTTTTTTGTCTGTGTGATAATTATTATATTTTGTATTTAATTGATAATCAATTAATGTGTCTAACGTTTGTTTTTCTCAAGATCGTACAGAAAAAAAAAGGAACATGCAACTGTGTTTTACGATTAACGACAAGTTAATTAGGGAACCCAAGTTAATGTTTGTTACATACAAACTTATTTATGTTGGACAATTGTTAGGAAGTTTTTTGTTTATTGTTAATAAAGGAAGAAGATCGCGCCATAAGGAAATATCCCGCAGTATCCTTGAACCTTCGATCTTAACAAGCGTGACCATTTAATTCGACTTAAGACTACGAATTCCGGCGTCACGCGAGCCTTCTTGATGCGCGTGCCACGATTAGAATCTTTCTTCTAATCTAACATAAGCACACACATATATATTTATGTAAGCTCACAAACACATATACACTCGCGAGCCCACGTGCTTAAAACAAAACTAATATGCATTCATATTAAAATATTAAATTATCATCGAGCTTCGAATTCAACGCATCCGCGTATGCAACTGCATAAAATTAAATTCATATAAACTTAATATTAACAAATTATTGCATTGTTTTTGTCGTAGAATTATTTTCTGAGAAAAAAAAAAAAAAAAGAAAAGAATATAAAATAAGATAAATTTATTTATATTTTCTTTTTGTGTATTTTTGAATTGTTCTACGTTTTTGTCTATTCAATTATGTTTTGGTTCTTACATATATTATATGCAGTATATAAGTCTGTCAGGATAGTTAGGGATTTTAAACGGCTGTAATGGTCGGTAATTAAGAGAGCGCATCGAACGGGGTTCCAGTTAATTGCGCGCACCAACCTAAGTAAGGTTCAATCACCTCGAAAAGAGAGTACGATGTACACCATAGAAGCAAGGTCAATTAAAAGGTCACCGAGCTTGCACTACGATTTATTTTTTTCTACTTTTGTCCTGATGACTTTCTCGTTCCTTTTATTTTGTTATCTATCATTTAGTTGGACACAAAATTTGTATTTGAAAATAGTTACTCCATTTTTAATGTTCTATGAAAAAAAAATTATAAAAAAAAAAAAAAGATTTATATTAATTCGTATACTTCAACATTTTGTCAATTGTTAATTAGGAAGTTTTAAAAAAAAAAGATATTACAAAATATTCCAACAAGATGAATTTATTTCTATAATAATAATTATTTTTATGAGATTATTCACCTTTTTCCTACGAAAAAAAAAAAAAGAAAAGGAAACGTGGGAGCAAAAAAAAATTAAAAAATAGTTGGAAGAGAGTCACGTTTCTTTTCTAACAATTTTGAAGCCCACACATTGAATACGTGATATCAACGTAATGGTTTCTCGTAGGACCCTAAGAAAGACGACGGTGAAATAAGAAAATGAAAATGCTTCTGATATACGTCGTATGGTGTTACCAAGAAAGAGAAACCCTCCCTTCATCCAAAAATATTTTCTATGTTTCACGTGTCGCATGATTCATAGGGAATTTTCGTTAATACAACCCAAAACTGAAAATAATTTATAAACGGGGTAATTATTGTTTTGTAATATAAAAACATGAATAATAATAAAAAAAACATAAAACAAAAACAACGGATCCAGTTATAGAGTGTATTCATTAATTATGTAAAAAACCAAAAAAAAATTAAATTAAATTCGATAAGAATAATTTCTTTTTAAATCAAGCAATTTAGATGCAAGTTGAATTAATTGCTCGATTCATATATGCATGCGTACATAAGATCATACATAATTTATATATATGAAGGTGTATACCGTAATAGTTCGAATAAA